TGCATTGGAGAGACGGTGTGCGAGCGACGCTTGGGCAGGGGCAGAGCCAGGGGGGGTGACAGGGGTGACATTCTGCGTATAAGTGTACGACACTCGGTCTGGCGGACTCCGTGCAGCTGCATTGTCAGAGTGTGTCGCCAACCGATGACGTCTAGTTCAACAGCCTGACTCTCTAAATCATTCTTGAAATAAAAATTTGTTGAATGTCACCCCGGCCTGAAATCCTGGCTCCGCCCCTGCGCTTGGGGTGAGCGTGGGGGTGGGAGCGACGAGGCGGGCATGACATCGTGAGAGACGGGAGGGTGATCACACACGATGCCACAGCTGCTCGAAGTTCCACGCGTGCCGGATGATAGTGACAAGGAAGGTCATGGCGGAGACGAGGATGGCGACGACCCTCAACATCTACAGTTCAAAGCAATGTATTGGGCTTACGTGCTTATGCAAATTGAGCATCTCCTGTTCCGCAACTTGCCCGGGCGTTCTGTGGCGCAGCATCGGCGTCCACGACCTGCACACCTCTCCCAGGGAGTAGGTGCTCTTGCGCCTTCAATTCTCACTGAATATTTTCCGGGTTGCTGACAAGTCGGGAGATGGCACGTGACCAGTCGCCGCAGCCCATAACGATGAGAGGTAATAGCGGATGTGGTGTGCCAGATTGCATAAATATTTTCCGGGTCACCGACCCAGACAGGCCCGCTTCGAAAAACTACCCTGCGCTCCGTGCGTGATTTGCCCGCCTCTCTGCTGCTGCGGGGGTGTAATGTTTCCGCGCGACCTGCTCGTCCGCCTGGCGAACGTGCGATGGTTGCTGCACGACCTGCGTGGCTTTCTGCTTTCTGTTAGCATTGGGGGGACAACCACACCGTGGCTGACTGCCAGCAGAAAGCCACGGTGTGGTTGCCACGCGCGCGGTGCACGACAACCATCCCGGCACGCGCATCCCACTGCCCCCCCCCTCACCTTCACTCCCAACTCCGCTGAGACTCCTGACGCCGCCCGTCCTAACCACCAGCCGGGGCTAAACCGAATCCACTTACGAGGCATTACTGTGGCGCTCTCGCCTAAGTGCCGTTACCCTGCGTGCATTCATCGCGGGCGCCGCCGTCGGTGGCGTTCGTTGGAAAGTGCGTAGAAATTTTCTGCGCATTAAACATTTAAAATTTGAATTTCTCGGCGTTTTTTACCCGGGATGTATAATTTAGTCGCAGCTGCTTGTGTTTGGCACCGTTGTTTACCCGCATTCAATTAATGTTCTCTGCTGAATATTCACGATGAATTACGTTGCATGGATCGGCCCTCTCTCTTGACATTGCCATGCGATGCAGATAAGGAGCGAATTATCCTCCCTCTGGCAAGGCACCAATTATGTTATTAGCCTCATCACAGCGGCCAGTTTCAGAGGCCGCTCGATTGGAAGAGACGTGCGGACCTGGCTCACTGGGAAGGCTGGCATGCCACAGAGTGCCGCGTGACCCCAAGCCACGCACGGCCACACGCTCTAAACACTTTAATGAAGACCTTTTAATTTGTAGGTCACGGGAAGATTTTCATTATGAGCGCCACGCCTCTCGAACGACACGCGCTCTTGGTCCGTCGGCATTGATTTTTGGGTCAGAGCAAACTGTGTGTCGTAAGCCCTCCTCCACCCGACGCAGCCAATTCATAAAGTTGTCACGTGTTGAACAAACGTGGCAATCTATTACTGCTTCAGCAGCACCACCAGCAGTTATAACCAGCACCATCAGGCAGTAGCCAGAACTGTGAAAATGCCCTGTCTTAAATGGGGGGTGTGAAGTTATCGCATACGCACGCCTACAACATCTGGAAATCTCTGGTAGGTGACTGCTCATCCAAATGATAGCCAGGCTCAACCCGCTTAGCTTTCCAGATGCAACGAGATAGGGGGAATTGCAGCCAGTGGAGGCAGCTACAGCAAACGCATCAAATGATCTACGGTAACGTTTTCCTCCAGAGTATCCAAACACAAGACAAAGATCTCCCGTGTCACCTTTACAGACTGTTGGGGCATGTGCTGTGAGCGACACACGAGGGGGGGGGGGGTGGCCAGCACCACGCCCATCCGCCTTTGTCTCCCGAGTGGCGATATTTTAACGCACCGCACCAGGTACTCATTTGAGGCCGAGTCGACCTAGGGGAGGCCCAGGACCAGTTCAGATAATCGTCATTGATATTGCCCATAAGCGGGAATCGAACTCAGGCCGCCAGGTTCGTAGCGCAGTGCGCTAACCGCTACACTACCGCTCCCCTTAACACACACAGGCTGACCGATGTGCATCACTCCCCGGTGCCATCTCCTGGCCTCCACCTCCCAACCTCGCGCCTCCAACACCTGGCAAGCCCACTTGCCTGTGAGAGTACTGCCTTTTGTAATCACTCCAGATTTTGTGTGAGCACGTTGGTGGCGCCGGGCTACGTGCGACTCTGTTTGGCTCTCTGATCTCCCAAGCAAATATCGGACTTTGTGCAGTGCTGCTTGTGGGTACAATTGACCGTGGGTGGCCGCGTGCGAGGCGATCGTGGTTCTCCGGTCACGCCTCGTTATTTTGCATGTCGTTGGATCTCCGCACGCACGCCGTTGTGGGAGGATCGCCACGGAGGAGGTGCGTGGGACGAGAATGGAAAGATCAGTGGCAGGTACAGTCTCCGTTTCTGTTGGCGAGAAACGGAGGGGAGAGAGAGAGAGAAAGGGAGGGAATCGAGGGGAATGAAAAAAAAACGAGAATGAAAAATTCATAACCCTTGCCTTTGTGTCAAGGGCACAATAAGAGGCGGCGCCAGGAAATTTCCATCCTCGTCGTTTGCGGTAAAGGTTCATTGATTCCATTGTGAGGGCCTCGCTAGGGTCGCTAGGCCACGTGACCCCACCGAGCCCTCCGCTAAATAAAGGGATGGGAGAAATAACCAGATGAACGTTACAAAACGAAACTGCACGACGAGTCGCATTATCTCAACGAGAGTGGTTATCTTTGCACAGCAAACAATTGCGTACTGCTAAAAATACCGACGGAAACAACGCAACCATTTCGAATGTCTCTGCGCTACGTGTTCCTTTGAACGGTGACGTGCTATTTGAATTTATTTCAAGATTACCAAATAAATGTCATCGCGCTTAAGAAAATAATTTGAAAAATGCACACAATAAACAGATAACAAACAAGCGTTGCCCGTGCAAAGAATTGCCTAACGGAGCGAACCGGACCGTACCATGGCCAGAGGCAAAGTGGTTGGGGGGGGGGGGGGTTTAATTAGCCGGATCTCCCCCTCACCATCACGAGCTTGCAGGGAATAGTCCACTCCACGTCATCAAACGCCACAAACGTGTAAATTCTGCTGGGAGTTTGTGGCTGCCCCTTGGGCTACGGCGGCATGGCACTAGCCACGTGGCTCTAAACAGCCGCGCGCCGCGGTGGGGGGGGATGAGATGGTCCGACCACCGTCGCTCAACTCCGGCGATAATGGACGCGGTGTCGCTATTTTCCAGAGACGCATGTGCGATGACACCACTGGGACACACATCGTATACAAGGTTATAAATAAACAAACCGCTCTTCCCGCGACAAGCATCCTGGAGACACTCTCACTAAAAAAAACCGCTCCAATTCATCCTGCCCGTGCGTCCGTCGGTTTGCGCGCCTGTGCGCCTGTGTTCCACTTGCGTTTATGCTCCCCTACGGTTACGTGCCCTTGGGTTGGTGTGGCCCTGGATTTGCGCACCCACGGGTTGTGTAACCATGAGTTTATTGGGCGGTTGTGTGGCCTCGCGGTAGTGCGATTGCGGCTCGCTGTGTTGCAGCAGGTGACAAAATGGTCTCTCATCGGCGTGATTCACCAGAAAATAGCCCATCAGCGGCATCGCGAGCAGGACTGCCCAGTTGCACGACCAGACCACGCAGCACGAAATATCTGTTGAGTGGTGTCTGGCGAGGATGGGGAAGACGGCAACCTCTGTCCAGCACCGTGTTTTTGAAAGGGCCGTTGACCTTCGTGCTTGGCAGCCAGAGCCGTGGCGCGGTGGCACTAAATCATCGCTGTGCCCGCATAAACACGGAGCCAACGGCGCGATTGGTTTTGGGAAAACTCCGATGGATGTTCGTCGTATATTCATGCTCGTTAGCCGCTGCAGGCCGTGTGTTCATTGCACAATAAATACGGTGGGGCATGTGGCTCCGGCGACACGATTCGTGCACACCTGGAAAGCCAACATTTGTTTTAATCATCGTTATCGTCATCCATGGTCAATCCACTGCCAGATGGAGGCCTCCCTCCCAAAGCCATCACCACCTCTCACGATGCTGCGATGAAACAATCCACGCAGCACCAGCACACTGACTGATTTCATCAAACCCTTAAAGATTAAAAATGCCCTGACCTGCATTTCGATCTCCCACATTGCTTTATTTTAAATCCAATGAAATCACATTACCATTAACAATGACCTCTGGTGACCGTGAGTGGTGGGCTGCACTGCCTTCAAGCGCGGAGCTCTAGGAGCATTCAAACATTCCAGAACGGGGCTGGGAGAATTTCTAGAAACCCTGCTCTACCCGTGCCGCATGAACATTAACCACGCCGGGCGCTAGTGCGTGCGCATCGCCGTGCCGGGTGAGCATCAGAGAGTGCGTGGATTGCGTCGAGAAAACGAGTGCCGTGTAATTCACGACCGGAGTTTCAAGCATTGACGGTTTTTGCGAGTTTTGATCGCGGGTTTTGGCCGCACCAATCTCCGACAGAGCCCGCCCAGGGCGGTGGAGATTCCAGAGAGAGGAGGCCTTGGGGTGGACCATGACCCCGAAAATTAAGAGCAACACCCTGGGCACCCACCCACCCCACCCTTTCATCAACCGGCGCTGACCCGGCGTGGTAAAGCAATACCGGCACAACGCTGGGGAGGAGGCCTACATCAGGAGCAAGTTTTATTTGGCGATGAGCGTGACCTCAGCCTCTCTCACGCCGTGCCACCCCTCGTTCCGTTTCAGGAAGACGATCGAGATCCGGGTCATCGACGACGAGGAGTACGAGAAGAACAAGAACTTCTTCCTGGAGCTGGGGGAGCCACGCCTCATGGACATGAGCGAGAGGAAAGGTACGAGACGCAGGCCGCGCTGCGCCGGCTGACCCAACTGGCGAGAGAGCGAGAGAGAGAGAGAGCCCCCATCGTGATGGGGGCTCTCTCTCTCTCGCGCATTCGCGCACAGCGTGGCGTTAGGCGATAGCTCGCTGCGTTTTCAATAAGCGCAGTGAAACACGCCCCACCACCTCCTCCCTCTAGAGCTCGATGAGTCCGTCCAAGATTCTTGCGGTGACCGATAACGAAAATCTTCGTGCCTTTTCAAAGTTTTTCGTCTCGTGTCGCCGCGAGGTGCGGCGCCGTGCGAGGGAAAGTCGCGGCTCGACCGTACAAACGGAAACGCGCAAAGATGCACCCATATCGCTCTTCTATCGCGAGTGCCACGGTGCCTGCTCCCATGAGCTTGACTCCTCGATTCCCCCTCCCACGCTGAGGGCTCTGTTTACCCCGTGTGTTTCGTCTCAACCACGCCACGTTCAAGCACCACACAGCAGGTCACAGCAACACACCCACTCACCCACTCACCACACAGCAGGTCACAGCAACTCACTCACCCACCCACTCACCATACTGCAGGTCACAGCAACACACCCACTCACCCACCCACTCACCATACTGCAGGTCACAGCAACACACTCACTCACTCATCCACCACTCACCACACTGCAGGTCACAGCAACACACCCACTTACCCACTCACCACACAGCAGGTCACAGCAACTCATTCACCTACCCACCCACTCACCACACTGCAGGTCACAGTAACACACCCACTCACCCAGCCGCTCACCCACCACACTGCAGGTGACAGCAACACACCCACTCACTCATCCACCACTCACCACACTGCAGGTCACAGCAACACACCCACTCACCCACCCACTCACTCACCACACAGCAGGTCACAGCAACTCACTCACCTACCCACCCACTCACCACACTGCAGGTCACAGTAACACACCCACTCACCCACCCCCCCACTCACCACACTGCAGGTGACAGCAACACACCCACTCACTCATCCACCACTCACCACACTGCAGGTCACAGCAACACACTCACCCGCCCACCCACTCACCACACTGCACGTCACCGCCACACACTCACCCGCCCACCCACTCACCACACTGCAGGTGACAGCAACACACCCACTCACTCATCCACCACTCACCACACTGCAGGTCACAGCAACACACTCACCCGCCCACCCACTCACCACACTGCACGTCACCACCACACACTCACCCGCCCACCCACTCACCACACTGCAGGTCACAGCAACACACCCACTCACCCAGCCACTCACCCACCACACTGCAGGTGACAGCAACACACCCACTCACTCATCCACCACTCACCACACTGCAGGTCACAGCAACACACCCACCCCCCCACCCACCACACTGCAGGTGACAGCAACACACCCACTCACTCATCCACCACTTACCACACAGCAGGTCACAGCAACACACCCACTCACTCACCCACCCACTCACCACACTGCAGGTCACAACAACACACCCACTCACTCACCACACTGCAGGTCACAACAACACACCCACTCACCCACTCACCCACCCACTCACCACACTGCAGGTCACAACAACACACCCACTCACTCACCCAACCACTCACCCACCCACTCACCACACTGCAGGTCACAGCAACACACCAACTCACCCACCCAACCACTCACCCACCCACTCACCACACTGCAGGTGACAACAACTCACCCACTCACTCACCACACTGCAGGTCACAGCAACACAACCACTCACTCACTCACCCACTCACCCACCCACTCACCACACTGCAGGTCATAACAACTCACCCACTCACTCACCACACTGCAGGTTACAACAACACACACCCACTCACTCACTCACCCACTCACCCACCCACTCACCACACTGCAGGTCACAACAACTCACCCACTCACTCACCACACTGCAGGTCACAGCAACACACCCACTCACTCACTCACCCACTCACCACATTGCAGGTCACAACAACTCACCCACCCACTCACCACACTGCAGGTCACAACAACACACTCACCCACTCACCCACCCACCCACTCACCACACTGCAGGTCATAACAACTCACCCACCCACCCACTCATCACACAGCAGGTAACAACAACTCACCCACTCACCCACCCACTCATCACACAGCAGGTCACAACAACTCACCCACTCACCCACCCACCCACTCATCACACAGCAGGTCACAATACTTCTCTTTCGGCTTCTTCTCTGACACTGCTGACATCCTCTCCCCACATCATCTCTTTTCCAAAGCGCTCTTAACAGTAATAAAAACCCTCCTCAATTTAAAACATCCGTATTCACAGTCATCGTTTACAACTTTGATAATGTCGTTTGTTGCTGGCGGCTTGGCGCTTTGGGTCTTTGAGCCTGTGCTCAGCAACTGTGATGATGCACGCCCGCGCCGGCGCCCACCGTACACTCGCTAATTGTCTCGGAAGACAACGGAGTTTTGTTTGATGAAATATAAACATTTTTGTTTAATATTTGATACCAATCTGAGGCAGGAACAACACAGACCAGGGCCATGGTGTTGGTGAACTGCGTCGAGTGTCGTAGGACTTTTAAAGTTAAGCAACGTATTTGGTGATGCTGCTGCTGCTGCTGCTGGCAGTGGTGCACGAATGAATCTCAACACGTTCGTCAGTGACTCTTGTGTGGCCTTAAAAGAAGAAAAAGATAAAAGTCGATGTTTTTGAGCCATGGCACTTCTTCTTCAGAGCACATAAATGGAGAGGCCAGGAAGATATCGTGAATAATAAGGATTAGAGATGGCACTTGTTTACACCGTGGGGCCTGATAAGAATCACATTTTTAAAATCTTTACTCATAGCCAGGTTTTGACTGTAGTTAGCTAACAGGAGCTTTCATCAAAAAGTTAAATGCTCAGGCATCCAAATTAATTCGTCAATAAGACTGCTGTGACATTAAAAGATAAAGAGTATGTAATAGGAAATGTTTGGGGCAATGGCTCTTCTTCACAGCACACAGAAGCATGAGAGGTCACGTTGATCATCCACCCCAAATCTCTGGCCCCTCTTAGTGCTGCGAACAATTCACGTTTTTTCTTTTTTTTAAAGGCCCCATTGTTACAGATGAATGTGTTGAGTTTCGTGGATTCGCACTTTAAACCCTTAAAGTAAAAAGGTCGTGGAAGAGTTCTCGGATGAACTGACACAAGTTTTGCCGTAAGACATTACCCAGGCAGAGCAACCGGCGTCTTGTCAGCTCCCCGCAAGCACCCGGAGCTAGCTCGGCTCCCAGCCTAAGGCAGTCGTCGCCAACACAACGCGAGATCGCGGGCAGCGAAGCTGAGATTAAGACGAGTGAAAAGAGCCAGACTATGTACAATGCCACCACATTCATCATTTTAGATGCCCGCTGAATTTTCAATTGCCTTTTTTTCCCCCTTCTTAAATAATTGCTGTTTATTCAAGTTTAAAGCGTTGGAAAGCAGATTGGAATGTTAATTACATATATACACACTCACACAGATATAGAGTACCCCCCTTTATGAAACATCCTGGGGACTAGGGACAAATATGTTCGTGTCCTTTCGTTAAATTGATTCCGGATGCAGTGAATGAGCAGGCATGCGGCTGAGGGCAAAGCCAATGAAACAAAATATGAGGGCCGTGCAAAGACGCACGGAGGAGATCCATTCCTGAAGTGACAGTACGTGGCAAGAGAGGAGGACCACGCCTGGACCGGAGAACGAATGCAGAGCAGAGACCGCAGATTGACTGTGAAGGGAAGAAAGCGGGACGTGGGCAGGAAGCGGGACGTGGGCAGGAAGCGGGACGTGGGCAGGACACGGGTCACGTCGAGCAGGGAGCCTGGTGACAAAACGGTGGTCAAAAGGCGGGGGAAGATCGCCCAGGAGGACAACCACTGCGAAAGACGGAGCAATGCGATCAAGTTCAACGTGCAGGCAAGAAACAGCCGGCAGTGATTACGTTATAGGGTCAGAAGGTAACGGTGCGTTACTTCTCGTCGCGAGAATTCGCAACCTCGCCGGGGAAATGAGGAACCCGGTGGCCGTAATCTGGGGGGCGCGGGCGAAGTGAGATCCTCCGCTCCGCCGGGCGGCTTCTGGCATCGATTGCGAGAAGAGTCCGTATATGGGAACGGAGTGCGGATCCGACGTGGCCAGAAATTCCCGAGCCGCTCTCACGCACGCCAGAACATTTCTCTCGTTGACCCCCTCCGACCCTTTCTCTCCCGGGCTCCGGGAGTTAAAGTAATCACGCCCTGAAATGTTCTTCGTGCTCAAACGATAAATCGGCAAGCGCAACCCCCCCCCCCCTCCCCCGCGATCGTACCGCGTGTCCCGAACACGACGTCCCCGTGGGCCAGGCCACTGGGCGGCCGAAAGCCTTCCTATCCTGCACCAGCAGGTGGGCCGACCCCACGACTGCAGCGAGCCCGGCCCTCGTCGGCTGATTGTAAATTGCGGAGGTGGATAATGCAGTGGCCGGCTCGCTCGCTACGCAGGCCAACCCGACGCCTCTTCCCGCAGTTTGGTGGTCGTCCCTCGCTCTTGCCGAGCCAGCCATCGCACAGGCGGCACCATCCGCGACCAGCACCACCACCACCACAACTCCCACCCTTCCTCTGGTCGCCCAACACCGTCTTCAAAGAAATGTTAATCTGGTAGCTGCATTTGCCACGCGGTGCAGCAGGGTGCGTGTGCAGGACTGTGTGAAACGCAGTCTCATTTTCAGCTCCTTGCCTCCCCTTCACAGGAGGTCGGGGAGATTGCTCCGTTTGATTTAAGGCGGCAAAAATAAAACGCGCGGCAGGGTGCACAGAAGGATATTTGTGCTGGAGGCACAGCACTTACAGACCACAACCCTCCAGAGGGAGAGCACTGTCAGCTACACCTACAGGAGGAATGTGTGCATTTCCAGCCTTTTATAAATCCACGGCTGAATTGGGGCCTCCTCATGCCATGTAAGTCAGTCAGGGGGGTTGTTTGACCATACTTCACTACGCTGGTCAGCACGGGCCAGTGAAGGTGGAGACTGCAGTAGTGGAGTAGGAGAGTTAATTGTGCCCGCACTGCCCCCTGCTGCCCACAATGTACCCGCCGCAGCAGCCTGTACCAGCGTGCAGTGCCATCATCCATCCGCTTAGCTCCTGAGATCACGCAGGATCAGGCACATCAATTCCAAATGATCTCGACGTAGACACGCGGGGATAGCTCCACCAGATGAATCCATAACCACAGAATGCGGCTTGAAAATTAAACCTCTCGCCAAACCCCACCTCCAAGGAGCGACGCCTAACCACAGGCGACCAGTTCTCTGCACATCCAGACGCATTCGGTGCAAAAGACGCTGCGAAAATGGGACGAGCGACGATGTTGGAACCGACGACGACGACCTTGTCGTCAGATGTTCGGAGTGACGTAGCTCGCTCGCATCGGCTCAATCCAGAGCTTAATGAGGCCCGGAGAGCAACCTTGACGTGGCATTCGATTTTAATTCATGCTTTCAAATCTCCACGCCTAATTGCGGTAACTTTCGTCGCAAAACAATCCCGAGTTGTGAAACTTATTTTTCATTGAACACCGCGGCGAAAGGAATGTTCATCGCCCGAGAGCTCCTCTCTGCTTGCCGAGAAAGGCGCGCGAGGGCCACGATTTGCCTTGAGCGATGAGGCTCACCCCCTCTTTTTATGGGCGGATAAAGTCAGTCGCGGGTCATGTGGCCCCACGATCTACACTATCCCCGTGCACGCCTCCTGCTCCCTTGCCCTGCTCCGCCCGTGATGCTCAGCAGCTGCCCGAGAGCTCTCTGTCGTTATTGAGGGCGATTCATCAGCGAGGCTGCCCGAGCGTGTAGCTGCATTGTTGGAAACGAAACAAGCAGTGGCATCTGGTGGCTCAAATTACCGTTGGTTGTAATGGCGCCAACATCACAGAAAACCAGCGGGAGGGCGGCAGCACGAGGCTGGCACCTTGCCCTGGGTTACAACATTTCTGGCTACGGCAGTGCTGCAAAGGGGCAGCTGATGCCAGGGCAGTGGAAAAGGTAGTCGTGGGCAGGTTGGGTCCGTAGAGAGCCTCTTGCGATGCAAGTGGTGTTGGTCATGGGCTTGCATTTTGCAGCCATACGCTGGCGCAGTTCTGCAGATTTTCCATCCCACGTTTATGCGTCGCCCTCAACTCAAACACACCCGCCTTTTTGTGGACATTGACAATTCATATACCACGCTTTGCCGCACGTTTGCACTGGTCCGTATAAACAAATCTCACTTTTTAGAAAATGTTTTCCGTAATATATGGCAAATTGACCGGGGAAGGAGGTGCCCAGGTTTGAGGTCACGTGAGGAAGAAAGCGGCATCTGAAACCCCCACCTGTGTTTTACGCACTCTGCACTGAGGATTACAGACAGAGCAGCGGGACGGGGGAAGGGCAGAGGGCAAGGGGGGCTCAGAAAAGGCAATAGTCAACAACACTGTGGCCTTAAAATTAATATATATGTCAAGGACGTTTTGGGAAATGGCCCATCGGATGCGGCCTCATCTAGCATTTTTCCCCAGGGCCTCCAAAAACGTTTCGATGGCCCTGGCCGCAATTCTACGTGGGGACTGTGGGGGTCTCACTCTCCGGCGTCAACCCGTCACAGGCGGTGCTGTGATCAGAAAGGGCAGCGGTGCTCGAGTGTGACGAAGGGGGGGGGGGGGGGGGACGTTTTGCTAACGTTGTGTTTGTGTTCACCTCTCTCATCTCCCCGCAGCCCTCCTGCTGCGCGATCAAGGTAAGCGCTCTCACGGCTGCCCGAGCCTTCCTCACTGCTCGGCGTTTCGACCCCCACACGTTTCTCCTCTCCTCGCTTCCTTCCGCCGTTGCTCATTCCCAAGGTGTTGGCGGCAGCGGCGGTGTAAGAGCCGCATAGTAGCCGGGCTTTCAAAGCTATTGAAGACCAGAGACTGAGTTGAAGCAATGCCGGGATTCGATATGATAACTAACTCGACAGCCCTCAGACTCCTGTGCAGTTGTGTCGGGCGAGGGGGTTTATTTATATATGAGCGGGTTTCCATAGCACCTTGGGATTTTTCAACGGCAGCGCACGCGTCACCCTCTCCAGCAATTTACCATGGAGGGACTTTGTATGGGAATATAAAGACCCTCTCTCGGCAAGCACAATCAATTTGCGGATACTTTATGGGCCGCGTGGACGCTTGATGGGCACAATTACCTGCAGTGCCCTTGCACGGAAATTTGTCAATTGGTTGAGGCGCGCAGTGGGCAAGTGCAGCATTGTTTATTCCAATTGCTGTAATTTCAAAATGCCCCATCTTTCAAAAATCTCTCCTGCAAAGTGCTCACGTCATGAGTTTCTCTCCATCACTCACTGCTGCTGCCCCAATTCCGCCATCCCCACTCCCCTCCCATGCTTCCCCTCCCCCCACCTCCCACCCCAATGGGGGGCAGGGGTGCTTCTGCTTCCCCTACACAGTGCGACCGGAAGTCGGGTGTGGTGGGATGAGATGCGGTGGTGCGACGCACAGGAGGATGCATGCCCAGCACTGTCGCTTGCTTTTGGACAAAAGAGAGAAACGGGAGAGATATTGAGAGGGGCGTTGGACCAACGCAGTTGCATCAGCCAGCCACGAGCAACAAAGTGTGAATTATCCAGAGACATTCGACATCAATGAGGCATAATTGTCAGTCGTGGACACTAAACAGGAGCGGCATTTCACTCTGAAGTGAGCAATTCTGTTGCCATACTCTTTGGGTCTTTCGGTAAAGTCAAGTAGATAGAAAAATAATAATAAAAATCACGACGTTTCGATCGCAACACAAGCAATCGTCTTCAGGTGAAAAAATGCAGCAGGCGAACTGCTGAGGCAGGATAAATATAGCGAGAGAACTACTGCAGCAAGAGGTTATATAGGTTTGAGATGGGTACAACCCAAGGGTAAGTGGGCGGGGCTAGAGATATAATTTACAAGTAATATACCTCGGCCATTGTATTGCGAGAGATTAGCATGTCAATGTGTTCATGTAACCCCACGACTAAGGTGCTGAAGAAGCCATTGTATTGCTCGAGATTAGAGATTAGCGCGTCAATGTGAGACGGGCTGCCGCAGCAGCGGCTGTGTTAATGAGACACATTCAGCTTATTAAACAACGAGAGCCACCGCCACATCGAGGAAAAGGGAAGCAGCGGCTATGTTAGTGAGACATTTCGCCTGTTAATGTAAAGACATTTAACAAGGTAATGTAACTCAGAGAGTCGGAAATAACTGTTAACATCGGCAGGTTGGATGGAAGCATCACAGCCAGTTATGACTTTACCTGATTAATAACATCCTTCCAATGATTGCTCAGTTTGTACCCATCTTCACGGTTGAAATTGTGTCTGTGTTTATATATCTGGAAGGCTTCATTAACAAATATTTGTTGATAGCCAGTGGGTTTGCATAGTACCGTCGTCTTGGAGAAATCAATGTCATGTGTGCCCACAGCATTAAGACAATGATCAGCCACGGCAGAGGTATTAGTCCTACCGTATTCCAGATCCGCCTTGTGTTCACGAACATGGTCTGAGACATGTAGCTTGGTTTCTCCAATGTAACTACTGCCGCAGGCACAGCTTAGTTTGTAGACGCCGGGGTATTGCATGTCAGGGATCACATCCTTCACAGATTGGATCAGATCACGAATTTTATGTACTGTGTTGAATCGAACCTGGATCTTGTGTTTGCTCATGATTTTGGAAATCGTTTTAGTGACCCCTGCTACGTATGGCAAGCTGATGGTTTTGATTGGGTCCTCAGGTGGTTCTCTCCCAAAGGTTGGGGTGATAGCTTTACGGATTGTGCAATCCGAATATCCATTAATCTTGAGAGCTTGGTGTACGTGCTCCAGTTCACTGGCTAGGTGGTGATGGTCGGAAATGCAACGAGCCCTGTGGTGTAGAGTTTTGATGAGGGCATTTTTCTGGGCTGGATGGTGGTGGGAGTCAGGTTTTAGATAGGCATCAGTGTGGGTGGCTTTCCTGTAGACAGTGTCCCAATGAGCCATCTGGTCTCTTTTCGATTAAAACATCCAAGAATGGCAACTTGCCATCCTTTTCCACCTCCATGGTGAATTTGATGGCTGGGTGTATGGAATTGATGTGGTTGAAGAATTGGTTCAGAGCTGGCAGGCCATGTGGCCAGATGACAAACGTGTCATCTACGTATCTCTTCCACAAGGAAGGACGTAGGATGGATGCCTGGATGGCATCTGTCTCAAATTTTTCCATGATAACATTGGGGTACCTGCAACTTGTTTGTAGAATGTACCATTCCAGGTAAAGTAAGTGTTGGTGAGGCAGTGTCTCACCAGGGCCGGTACATTAGCATTTAGTCCTTGTTGGACCAAATCTTCAATGATTGCAATGGTGTCAGGCACAGGAACTTTGGTCAACAAAGAAACTACATCGAAACTGACAAGCAAATCACCTGGAGATAGTGAGATAACAAGTGAGCTGAATTAAGTACAGCTGAGGTGGTCTTGCCTGCTGTATTTTTTCACCTGAAGGCGATTGCTTGTGTTGCGATCGAAACGTCGTGATTTTTCTTCTTTACCGAAAGACCCAAAGAGTGTGAATTCCTGCAGTCACGAAAGCTTTAAGTCAAAATTTAAATCTGTTACTATTCGTTGAGGCCCGGCGGCGCTCGAACGCAGATTCCGGGAAAAATGAATGAGCGAGGGCGAAGGACATTACTGACAACCGCTCGGAATGAGATGGATGGAGGCGAGCGGAGACGGGCGACGGCACCGACTGCGAGCGGCACGGTCTCCGATAGAGACCGACAGAGACCGTGCGCGCGCACACCGCTCGCTCTTGTCGCTGCGGCCGGGTCGGCCCGATCGTGGACACTCGTTGCGGCTGCTCGTTGCGGTTGCTCGTTGCGGTTGCTCATTGCGGTTGCTCGTTGCGGTTGCTCATTGCGGTTGCTCGTTGCGGCTGCTCGTTGCGGTTGCTCGTTGCGGTTGCTCATTGCGGTTGCTCGTTGCGGTTGCTCATTGCGGTTGCTCGTTGCGGTTGCTCATTGCGATTGCTCGTTGCGGCTGCTCGTTGCGGTTGTTCATTGCGGTTGCTCGTTGCGGTTGCTCATTGCGGTTGCTCGTTGCGGTTGCTCATTGCGATTGCTCGTTGCGGCTGCTCATTGCGATTGCTCGTTGCGGATGCTCGTTGCGGTTGCTCATTGCGGCTGCTCGTTGCGGTTGTTCATTGCGGTTGCTCATTGCGGTTGCTCGTTGCGGCTGCTCGTTGCAGCTGCTCGTTGCATGCGTGGTTGCATTCCGAGCGCAGCCGGGCGATCCGTTTGAACATCGCCTCTCGATTCCGACGGGTTGTTACGGTTAATGGAGCCACGGTTGCAATTTCACGCCATAATCAAGGGCCCCATTTTACATCTGCGGACGTTACGATTTCAATTGGCTTGCACGCAGATAATTATGATACCGATAATAATTAGTTTGTTGCTGTTATATTCTTGGTTCTTTCGGTAAAGTCACGAAGAAGGGAAACAATAAAATAATAAAAATATAAAACAATTAAACTATTTTTGTTAACAATAAAATTTTTTATTGTTTTATATATATATAATTTTTTTATTTTATTGTTTCCCTTCTACGTGACTTTACCGAAAGAACCAAGAACATGAATCCCTGCAGTCACGAAAGCTTTAAATCAAAATTTGTTGCTGTTCTTCAAGCTGATAATCTCGAATTACCGTTCAATCCCCCACCCCACCCCTGCGGGGTACCCCTCCTCCCCGTCAAGCGACGCCACTGCCGACGTCCAGGCAGGCAGCTGGCGTCCGGTTAAACGAGGGCGTACACGCCAATGCCTCGCTTCGCGTAAAAGTGTTATACTCAAAGGCGGGTTCATGGAACCACCATCCGTCCACGTCACAGCTCAGCGAATCTGGGATCCGCCAACCCTTCCCCCCCTACCGCAGACTGGACGGGATAATGTTGCGCATCTGTGCGTGACACGAGGTTGTTTCATGGCAGCGTCAGGCCGGTGGAGGTGAGGAGCCGGCATTGCTCTGCAGACTGGAGACCGAACAGCGCTGCGCTTTGTCCCTCGCAAAGTTTTGGGGTTTCTCAGGGCCTTGCAGTTTTCTCCCACGTGATTCCAAAGCAGTCATTGTATAAAAAAAAAACTGACCAAACATCTCTTTAAAATGGTGCCACGTAAATAAAAGCCAAATTCGATGGCCTGAATCAACCGCCAACCGGGAGTTTAACTCGCAACACATCCAACTGCAAGCCGCTCGCACTCCCGCTGAGACACCGGGCCGATAAGTGAACGGCATTGGCGTGTTCATTTAACACGCAACGTCCTAATGAGGTTAGTTTCGGAGGGCACGACGTGGTGATACGAGACACGCGAGAGCGTATTGGCGCTTTAACGCTCCGCCGAGCCAGACCCGGGAGGCGTGCTGCCACCAGAGCTGCCACCAGGAGGGAAGCGGCGCGATGGAAAAACCGCAGCTGTTGACAACGGCCCCCATTACGCGCGCAATTACAGATGTGTTTAATTACTCCCAAGATTTCCCCGCGTGTACGCACGTCACTCGTTGACGGCGGTGCCAACGCGCGGCGGTTTGCGCAGCCACCGCTGCGACTTTCGCTCGATTACACGCGTTACGCTTTGTGGGCCTGCGCGCTAACGCGGCCAGAAGTTTGGCCGGGGAGGCATTTCTCGCCGAATATTTTCCGGTATAATTTTTTTTCTCGGAGGACTCAAGATGCGAGTTCACATCCAAAAGCGGCGCACTCACAAACGTGATCACGTTGCGCGGAATTTGTCTGCTCTTTCACGCCGTCGGCCCCAACTCACGACATACGGTTCTCCCGGGTCGGAGTTCAGACGCGGCTCGTGCGGCAACACTCGCGCGTGCGCGAGACGCGGCGTGTGATTTACCATCGATCCCGTGTGTCGCTCGCACAAGCGGCCGCAGCCGCCGGCGTGGCCGTCACCGCAGGCGGTAATCGAGTTAAGTGGCTCGCGGCAGCGGCGCACGGTGCGCCCCGCACGGAGCGCCGTCTCGTTACGATCCCACACCCCCGCCGCCTCATGACCCCCTTCCCCCCACCGCGCTTTTAGCAAATTAAACGCCTGTGACAAACTGCCCGCGCTCGCTATGAATTAACACTCCACGCTTTCATGCGCTCTTTTGTCGACGACGGCGGCGAGGGTGGTGGCGACAGCGGGGAGTGTCAGGGGCCGAGCGAAGGTCATGGTGACCTCGGCTGCGAGGTTCGGGCTGAGCTCCATTAGCAGTCCCGGCGAGCGGTTACCCCCCCTCGTCGTCTGCCTCCTCCGGCGTTCTACGAACTTTCAGACTCGGATCGATGGCGTTAAACGGCTGCGTTTGAACCTCTTCCACCCAGTCCGCTATGTTGGGAATCCGAGCTGTATATCACAACCAGCTGATATGCGTAGTTGAGGATCGGGCAAGGTGGAGGGTGACCACGGCCGGTGCTGCCAGCACCGTGATCGGGCACATTCGGGGGGATTGGGTCGTGGGCTGACCAGATTTGACTAAAAGGTTCACGTCAAACCAGATTTAAAGGATTTCTCCGAACACAGCGACTCACGACCCACCGTGAGCAGATTACATTTCCGTGACCCAGAAGTGGCCGTGCGCAAGCGGCATACCCCGTCGCGTGTAAACACATCTGCTCCCCCGGGTGCGGCCGCTGCCGTCCGAGCAGATACTCCCGCCTCTCTCGCCATTTACTTTTATAAACGCTCAATTTGAAACTGGATCGGGGCGCATCACGCGGTATTTGAAACCGGAACGGGGGAGAAAGGGGAAAGGGGGGGGGGGGCTGTCCACGGCGTGTGGTCGTGGCCTTGAACGTGGCCCACTGACAACATCGGCAAGTTGAAATCCATCACCGACGGCGTGTGCGGCACCCAAGCCTGACTAGCGGCGCCGGGAGTGTAAGGGGTGAGAGACTACCCCCCGCCCCCTCCATCTCCCCCCGCCCTCTCCCACCCCGACCCCCCCTACCGAGCGCAACCTGCTCTACGTAACGACCCCGGTGACCCCCGCAGACGGCCCCGAGGGCCTGCTGCTCACCAAAGAGGAGGAAGAGGCGCGGAGGATTGCGGCGCTCGGGAAACCCATGCTGGGGGAGCCACACCGCCTCGAGGTCGTCATCGAGGAGTCCTACGAGTTTAAGGTGCCTCCCTGGTGTCATCATCGTCGTCATCATCGTCATTGTTGTCGTCATCGCAGCCTACCCCGTCATGTTGCCATCTCTTCGACCGCTTCATGTTCTCTAGCATGATCATCGCTGCGATCGTCACCTCCATCATCATCCAATTGCATACACGCTTTATAACTAAAGCTTCCATGTGTCCCACTCCTCCACAATCAGTGTCCATATCCACCGACATCACCACCACCACCATCATCATCCCTATCCCAGCAGCTATAATCCCACCAACGTCATACTAATTCACCTCGTCATCATTCCAGCAGCACCACCATCGCCATCCTCGTGCTATCCCCATCGAAGGTGCGATTCACGTCATCAGAGGGGGCCCAAAAATCGCTCTTCCCACACGCGTCTCCGTGTCACCGACACGGCCCAATCCGCGAGGCTAAACCGCCTCCCCACCGTCGACCACCTCGCTCACCACGCTTCTCCCTTGGCGCAACCCTTAGACACACACACACGATGCCCTCGACTCCCATCGTACAAGACGGTGCACGACTGCTGCTGCTGCTGCACATGGGCCCGGCTATAACGCGGCACGGCAGCGTGCAGCCTCCACCGCCGGCGTCGCCGCACCGATGCTTGATAATGCGAGTTCAAACCCGCGCCCGCCCCCGGCATCGCTGCCGAGCGAAGGACTAATCATTGGTATTGTCCCTAAATTAATTGTTTTGGCAGCCATCTCCACCTCCACATCGAGCGGCCGTGACTGCGAGTGAGAAATGGCCTGCCATGTTCACGAGAAAAATGAAGTAATGCCTCTAATCATGCGGAGTGCTGGCGTGTTAATGCACGGCGCGCGTGCTCACCACACACCGCACACCACCCCTGCACCACACCCACTCCTCCACAAAACGCCATCGCCGCACTGCTACAATACGCCAAAACTCCACCTCCCTCACACCTCACGCACCTCACGCACCACGCACCTCACGCACCACACACCTTACGCACCACACACCTCACACACCACACACCTCACACACCACACACCACACACCTCACGCACCACACATCACGCACCACACATCGTTACCACACACTTCACGCACCACACACCGTCACCACACACCGTCACCACACACCTCACACACCACACACCTCACGCACCACACACCGTCACCACACACCTCACGCACCACACACCGTCACCACACACCTCACGCACCACGCACCTCACACCTCACGCACCACACACCACACACACCACACGCCTCACACACCACACACTTCACGCACCACACACCATCACCACACTCCGTCACCACACACCTCACGCACCACACGCCTCACACACCACACAGTTCACGCACCACACATCGTCACCACACACCTCACACACCACACACTGTCATCACACACCTCACGCACCACACGCCTCACACACCACACACCTCACGCACCACACATCGTCACCACACACCTCATATACCACACACTGTCATCACACACCTCACGCACCACACATCGTCACCACACCTTCACGCACCACACCCCGTCACCACACCCCGTCACCACACACCTCACGCACCACACACTTCACGCACCACACACCGTCACCACACACCTCACGCACCGCACACCGTCACCACACACCTCACACACCACACACCTCACACACCACACACCGTCACCACACATCGTCACCACACACCGTCACCACACACCTCACGCACCACACATCGTCACCACACACCGTCACCACACACCTCACGCACCACACACCGTCACCACACACCTCACGCACCACACACCGTCACCACACATCGTCACCACACATCGTCACCACACACCGTCACCACACACCTCACGCACCACACATCGTCACCACACACCACACACCGTCACCACACACCGTCACCACACGCCTCACGCACCACACACCGTCACCACACATCGTCACCACACACCGTCACCACACACCTCACGCACCACACACCGTCACCACACACCGTCACCACACACCTCACGCACCACACACCGTCACCACACACCTCACGCACCACACACCGTCACCACACATCGTCACCACACACCGTCACCACACGCCTCACGCACCACACACCGTCACCACACATCGTCACCACACACCACACACCGTCACCACACACCGTCAGCACACACCACACACCGTCACCACCCACCTTCACCACACACCTTCACCACACACCGTCACCATACACAGTCCCCGGCGGATCGACGCGTCGTCGGACCCCGGTGCTCGTGAGATGCTGGTGGACGATCCATAATGGCCAGCTCTACAGTCAGTTAAAATTGGCGAATAATGTACACGCCAAGCGAAGCAGCTTCCGCTTCGTTCACAATATCGATTCTGTAGGCTCACGAAGCACACGACCAACCGCGCGCAAGGATCGACGTTTTCGTCTTGATTCGTCTTCGTAATGGGTTCACGTGACCCCTGTAAGCCACTAGAGGCCGTTACCGTTCACGCGATATATTTTTTTAAAAAGTCATTTGTCGATCGAATCGAAATTCTGAATTGCGAAACTTTATAGAATCACCAGGGCAGGGCAGTTCATATTTACACCCCTAATAGTCCTCCACACCGCCCCATATGCATTTGTAATTTACACATTTACAATAACTCAAAAAAACACGAAATGCACCTGCTATTGGCCAAACATTCCAATGCTGAAAAATTACCTGCAAATTACTCAATTGGGATTACACAGAGCAGAAACATCGCCCCCCTACTGTAAACACTTGGCAGGACCATCTTGAAAATTAGTCTTGAGACTTTCCTGGGTAAACAACCAGAATAATAATGCTAATTTGTTTATCCTCTAGAGCTTTACCAAGTCTCAATACCTTCACAGGAAGGTTCTGCTACATTGGGATGTTTGGCCAATTCAGTTATTGAGCATTTAGCTCCGTCCAGCAGGAAATCTATGAACATCGACCAAGCGTACAAGGGTACAGCACTTGAAGCGCTGCACAGACGAATCCTCAATTCATTGCTCTACTGCCATCTCCTGGCCACCTCTTACAATTAAAAGTTGGATATGCCTCAACCGATTGTGCATCCTGCACCCCCCCCTTCCCCATTCTCCCCCCGAAACAAACCTTGTAGAGCACAGTGGACAAGCTGATCAAGAAGACAAACTTGGCGCTGGTGGTGGGCACCAACTCGTGGCGGGAGCAGTTTGTAGAGGCCATCACCGTCAGCGCAGGTGAGAACGCCTTCGTGTGCACCCCCCCCCCCCTCCCGAAAGTGAAGTTATTTGGTGATGCTGCTGCATTGGCCAGTGGTGCACAAGCACCGTTGGCAACTACTCAACACATTCCGTGTCGGGTTCGTGTGGTATTGGATGGAAAAAATATGATTAATAGATGACTTACAATTTACGACCGGGAATCGCAACAAATCATTCAAATCGGCATGGGCAGGGGCGGTGCGACGGACTGTCGCATATCTAGCGCATACGTGGTGTCTTCGGTCGCACTGCCGTCGCCAGCAATCACAGCTTCCACAAAGCTACCAAATTTCTGGGAGGCTCAACCGGGGGGCACGTGGGGAGCCGGAAGCCCCTCCCTCCATCAGCCCCGCCCACTTTTACATGACCACGCCCAACAAATCTCTAGCAATGCTCGTACAGAAAAGGGCCTCCTCCTACTGGCTGGCTCAGATTTTGGCCCCGCCCACTGCTCAGGTAGTCCAGGAAGCAGCAAACCCTCGTGAGAGACACACGCACCCCGGACGTTTGGGAGCCTTAAGTCTTCGAGCCACGTGGGTTCGTCCCGGGCCCGGTCCGATCGTCCGCCGTCGTCTCTCCCGTTTCCAGGTGACGACGACGACGAGGAGGGGGCGGAGGAGCGCATGCCTTCTTGCTGCGACTACATCATGCACTTCCTCACGGTCTTCTGGAAGGTGCTGTTCGCGTGCGTGCCGCCCACCGAGTACATGAACGGCTGGGCCTGCTTCATCGTCTCCATCTGCGTCATCGGCATCCTCACCGCCGTCATCGGTGACCTCGCCTCGCACTTTGGCTGCACCGTGGGGCTCAAGGACTCGGTGACCGCGGTCGTTTTTGTGGCGCTCGGCACCTCTGTGCCCGGTGAGTCGCGCTCAGGAGGGATTTGTTTTCGTCACCGAATGTTGTTTTTGTTCCTGGGTCGCGGGTGGACTGCGGTAGATACAATTCGACACTTGAGTGTGCAAGCGGCTAGAGGGGCCCAGGTGCTGGGCTGAAGTTTCAGATGAGAATATTTATATATATACTGGAGGAATCCGATGAGCTAAACAGCTCTGTTTCACAGATGTCCAGGAGGGGCAGGTCAGAACGTTAGAATAACAAACAAAACAAAACCACGATCGGAGTGTAAAGTATAGGATAGGTGAGCAAAGAACTTATAAAAAATAGAAATAAAACTAAACTTGTTTTTATCTTACCAGGAAAAGCCCACTGAGCTATTAGCTTATTTTTCAGAAGCAACCTGGCCAGAAATGATAGCTCAACGAAGTAGTTCATGGTGTGGAAATGTATAGTGGCATCTAACCTGTCCTGCTGTTAACGTCTGGAAGCATTTTGCAATGGCAGCAGCTCTCTCCGGTCTCGAAAGAAAATCCTTGGCATTGAGCCGCTTGCACTGCTGATGTGACTCATTTCTCATCCGTACCGCTCCCTGCCCCCCCCCCCCCCCCCCATCGTGCCCCCCACAGACACGTTCGCCAGCAAGGTGGCGGCCATCCAGGACCAGTACGCGGACGCTTCGATCGGCAACGTGACGGGCAGCAACGGCGTCAACGTGTTCCTGGGCATCGGTCTCGCGTGGTCCGTGGCTGCCATCTACTGGTGGACGCAGGGCGAGAAGTTCCGCGTCGAAGCGGGCACGCTCGCCTTCTCCGTCACGCTCTTCACCGTCTTTGCCTTCATCACCGTCGCCGTGCTCATGTACCGGCGCCAGCCCAGCATCGGCGGGGAGCTGGGGGGCCCGCGTTGCTCCAAGCTGCTCACCAGCCTGCTCTTCTTCTCGCTGTGGCTCATCTACATCATCATCTCGGGCCTCGAGGCGTACTGCCACATCTCGGTTGTTTGAACAAAGCGGCGGCGGTGGCGGCGGCGAAAAGTTAAACCGGCCCTTCTGACGACAGTATTCCCCATCACGACGCAACAGGGCTCTGACGATCTGACGCCGGCGAGAGGCTTTCACACGCGGGGACGCTCTGCCAGGCTGCGACCGCTCGCGTGAACAGAGGGTGAAAATGCGGACGATGAGTTAACGGCTCGACGCTGAAACGACCGTCCGCAGCTGCATGAACGACCGGACCGCGGTGGCTGGAGCGCCGATGGAAGTGGCGACCCCTGCTTGCGGGGGTTCCGGCGCCTTCCCGTCCGGCGCCCCCCTCGCGCCCGTCTGCATGAGTAGCGCGTATCGTTTTACGGGCAACCGACTCTTTTTCTATGTTTTATATTTTTCTGAGTGCGGAGGTGGAGGGTTGGGAGGGTGAGAGGCGGGGTGGTGGGGGGGGGGAACGTGTTGGGGGTAATATAGGTGGCTCTGAATGCTCGTCTCGTGTGTCCCGTATGCTGCTGAATTTCCATCGTTTTACCCGAAACGGTTCTTGTATATTTTGATTAAGGAAAAAGAAGAAACAAAGGAAACACTGTAGAGGCATTTAGTCAGTAAATTATTGCGAGTTCGAGAAAGCACCTGCATGAAGACGCGGCATGCCGTTATGTATTTAGCGCTGTCTCCCCACGCGGCATTCCCTCGCATCTCGTTTTAAACACAAGCCTCGTCAAAGTCCGTCCCCGTTGCACTCCCACGTCCGAATCTGACCGATGCTCGCTATAACCACTCCCCCCCTCCCCCTCGTGTGACAAGGATGGTTCCCACCTCCATGCTTTGCCGTTTCAAATAGTGAGACGTAGCAAAGTGTGTAGGCCATGTAACTGCCCCAGGGCTCAAAGGCCGGAGGGGCCCAAATACAGGGCTACAAAAATGGGGGGCAAATTGGACTAGGTGGGTACGGGGAGTGGGAGAGGAAGGGGGGGGAGGGGGCATTTAATTCCTGAGCCCACGCCACCTTGGGATTTCAAATGCATTTATTTATTTAACTACCCCCCTCCGCCTCCCAGAAACCTGCTCCCCACACGCAGAACTCCCGAGGCTCGCACCCCCGCGGGAGGAGGCTGCGTAGGGCGGGCTTCGTGCGTCGGGCACTTGACTACGCCAACGCCCCGCCGGGGGGGGGGGGGGGGGGGGGGTGGGGGAGGTGGCGAGATCAGGCAGAGAGTCCAATTCCCTGCAAAGCGAGAGACGTAGTCGTGTCACGGCGTCTTGCAGCCGTGGGGCAAATGTGTGGGATGCTTCTCCCCCGTTCGTAGAAGATGGCAGGTACAAGGACTTTGTGTTTTAGCGACCAGGCGGTTTGTTTGGAGGCCACGCGGAGACGGACCGTAGGTGACGGACAGGTCGCCGGGACAAAGATCATACGCCGGCGTGCATCGACCGAGATGGCGGCACTTCAGATGAAGTGTGCAAAGAAGTGTTGGACAGATGTGCGCTTTTCATTTACACTCACAGGAAGAGAAGCACGTGGTCCGAAGAATAAATTATGAAATAGAGACAAGATATTGACCGCTGAGGAGAGTAAGTGGGCTCGGGCTGGATGCTTCACGAGAAGGGATGGTGGCCGATGGGTGAGACCGGTGTTTGAATTGCAGCCAAAGGAGGGAACGCACCACGCAGTACCGGTGTCAAAATGTTTGGGAGAAAGTTCGGGCCGAGCAGATGGTATAAAACAAGTAAAGCTATGACTAAAGCAAAGTTTCACAAGTTTGAAAAGTGGGCTTAAAGTCAAGGTGTTTTAGTTGAAAATGGACCTTCATGCAAAGAAAGATTACAAAAAAAAATACAAAAATTTATGCCGGGAGGAGAGAACATTCATTCGCGCGGGGGGGAAAATGTGGGCAGGGCCACAAAATGTTCTGACTTGGCAATTTCACCACGGCAGAGAGTCGTCCTCGATGCTCCGTCCCTGTACGGACTCGTGCAGCAGGCGAGACGAAACGCCTGGCGCAGACACGAGGACGCCGACCCGTCCGTCCGTCTGTCCGTCCCGTTCCGTACTACGCGCCATGTCTCGTCGAGCAGCCCCTCCCCGGGATGCCGCAGTACGGGAACTGCGCGTTCCGCACACCGCGGATTCAAGTCCGCCGCCGCCCCCATCCGTGGGTAGAGCCTCAGTGGTGGGAAGGGTCAGCAGGTGGACATTCACCGCTGGCGCTCGTGGAACGTTGAACCGCTGCGTCATTGGCCCGAGCACTGAATTACATTTCTCATCTACCACTTCAGGCCAGGGCTTAATTTCTCACCGTATATTTTCCGGGTCGCTGGTAGACCAGGAAGATGGCATATATATATACTGGACGTGGTGTGCCGGATGCAGAAATAAAGATCCAGGTTTGCCGACCTGACCCGGACAGACCCGGCTACAATTAAGCCCTGCATGCAAGCGGTGTCCACTTCTTGTTTTACCACAGCTTCAAATCACCTGCTTATTTGATTTTTTTCCCCCGTTTTAATTTTAGTTGGGATTTCCCCGCCCCCCTCCCCCCCCCATTAAGTGCGGACGTTCCACAGACTATTACGTGCGACGCGAACAAGGCCCGCTTACCGCGCCACCGTGTAAGACTGACCAGCGGACGCCGGCGGTCAACGTACGATTAAATACGTTTTGGGGGGGATCAGCACAGATTCACCGATCCAAGAGTTCGGACGTCCACGGCCGCTGCGGGAGCGGAGTGGCTCCGCGGAGCGCGCCGAGCAAACGTCGGCTGCGCCTTGCTCCGCCGCTCCGCCGTGCGTGCTCGCGCGCACCGCCAACGGCAGCTCACTTACTCGCCAACTCGCTCGTCCAGAGGCAGTCCACCAGACTCTGTGCATTATTTACACATTGTCGTGAGCATGAACAATTCTCGTACGCGTGAGCGCGAGAGCCATCGTAAGAGGCCACTCCTCGTCACGTCCCGTAGGAACGCACCATGCATGTGCGGGTCGACCCGTGTGGTGCGTGCGTGCGTGCGTGTGGGTCCGTGAGGACTGCAGTCCACTCGGCTGTGTGATATAAAAGCCATGGGGGGGGGGGGGGGTATGCGCGTTACGCGTGGGGGTGCGGGCGTTGGAAATCATTTTTCTCAGGGATGTTACTTTCTTTATGTTATTGTCGTTGTGGCCACCACCGTTATTGTTGTTGTTGATGTTTCTCGAGGTCTCTGCGAGCTCCCCCCCCCCCCCCATCTCGTCCCGTTTGATCCATCGCGTTCCAACATCCATCGTCAGTGTCACTCGGGTCTGCGCGGGGGGGGGGGTGGGTGGGTTGGGGGGGGGGGGTGAAAAACATGTATTAAATTGATGAATTAGAAATATATATTCAGTATATATAAACATACGTATATATATAATAACAGATACATGTATATACGTACATACCTATAAATACACGTGCGCGTCTGAGCGTGGCCGCAGGACAACTACGACTGTCGCTGTGTGTTGGGGGTCGTGGGGGGCAGTCGTCGTCGTGGATTTGACCCCCGACCCCCCCCCCCCCCGCCGCCCCCCAGTGCGTGTCGACACCTGGGACCGCGCGAGCGTTTGTCCTGTCCCTCGTCCGAGTGGAAAGCGTTGTCGTTTTTAAAATAATAATAATAACAAGAACTTTGAATGCAAACCCTCGACACAGCGGCGCAACGGAACAGGGGAACCGCCTGCGTCCGGCGGCGAAGAAGCATGTCTACCGAGGCGACCGAGTTTTCACTTTGTATCGGAGCATTTCCTGGGAGTCCACGTGTATCATTATTCTTCTCTTATTGACTGTTGTTGTTGTTGTCGAATTGTGGAAAATAAGCTCCTGGTTGCACAGACTGTATTTATTGGGTGTGTGAATCTGTCACTGTTCGGCTTCCCAGGGTAATTCGTCAGGGTGTGGATTTTAAGGCATTGCAGCTCTTCTTGACTCCCCCCATCCCCTGGAACCAGGGTTCCCCGTTTGCCGCAGTATTTCCACTCGCTGGGTGTTTCCAACGAGGAGCAGGATGAGGTCCACCACTGGTCAAGCGAGCGTTGATTGATTTATCGAAAGAATGGGAGCTTCCGCCTGCGGTGTAGTGGTTGGCCACGACCGGAAATGCAATTCAGAGGACATAGGGTCGATTTTATCTCCCGGCGTGGCATCTGAAACAATGGTGAAAGTTTCTTAAATCCACCACTCCCCCTCCAAACTCCTCTCCGCCTCTGCCCACCCAGCAGTATAAATGGTTTCCCCACAGTTAGTTACGGAACAGGGGATTTTCATGGCTCTATATATGTTCAAAACTGTATACAGGGTGTTTAAAAATGATCAACCCAGTTTCAAAGCAGTATATTTCACGATGGCAACATGTTACAATTACACAGAAAGTTACAAACGGTTTAATGAGTTATCAAGGTTTACTAACCATTTTATAAATGTTCTATGTGACCTCCACCTGCTGTACAACTAACATCGAGACGATAGTTGAATTCATCCCAAACGCCTCTCAAAGTGTCTTCTTCCACTGTAGTCACCGCTGCCGTGATTCTGTTTTTGAGGTCATCCGGATTAGTGTTGGTACCAACGACGAATGCTCTTTGACATTGGCGTTGAAACGCACGCTGCACTGCAATTACGGATTCAGTCTTGCTGAACTGCAGAACGCAAAAAGCCCCTTGTGTTGCGGGGTCACCGTCTTCCGAATGACTGAGGCTAAGGGCTGTTTGTGCGCTGGGAGAGGCATCTAGCAATAATCATTTGAAACTCAATGCCCCGCCCTTTCAAGTGGTAAGAGTTTCATTCATGAGCGGTTCGTGGTTGCAGAGATATAGCGATTTTAAATTGGGACCATCTTTTTCAAACACCCTGTATATTCAATGTATTAAGGATGTGTAAATATTTGTCTTGATATTGAGTGCGATTTTTTCATTCAAGGACCTGTCAATATGTTGTTCCGTCTGATCGATTTAGATCCCCAAATCCCTTTCTACGCAGGTAAACTGCGCTTGTCGATGCAAACGAGCCGACTCGGAACCCCATCGAGTAACCTTTGCACTGCCATCGGCTTCCTCTGCCACGATGTCAGTACCACGGCTGCCCAGAGGTTCCTGGAGGCCGGGTTAGATGCCACATGGGCGGGGGGGGGGGGGAGAGACCCCCTTATTCCTTAGCAACAAAGGAAACAGGTCCCTTTTGGGGGTCCTGTTAAGTGGGCGAATTACCCCCCCCACTCCCCTTCTTTCCCCTTCCCCACAGCGCTCCCCTCCGCCAACTCTGGGCGGCCCTCATCGAGACTGATTTCACAGGGCACCTAACAACAGCCCCAGGGTGGAGTCGTCGTTCGCGTTGGGTTACAAGGCACGCGTGCCATCTGCTCTCAGATCACTCCCCACTGCGTGGCACACTCGGTCTGCGATCGAGAGCCCAGATCTGCAGCAAACGAACCGGAAACAAACAAACATTTCACTTATTTTTTTTTACAGAGGGTTTGGAGGAGGAGGGAAACATTTAAATCGACCGTGTGACAGGAAACGTTCAGAGTCTTCTGTTGGGCAAGCGGTTTTGATCAGCGCAAAAAATCGCCCCGCTCCATTCAATTACGCGCGCTCCAAGGAGTCACGGTCCACACTTCGGGTTGTTTTAGGGCAACCGGTGAACCGGTAACCGTTTTCATAATCGGTCACCGGTTCCGGAAGGTCATGAACCGGAAACCGTTGTCAGTGGAATGTGGGTAATGAATGCACCGATTTGGCACGCGTGCGCGCACAAACAGCACCGCAGCCGAAGTCACCGCCTGGTGCATTCACTCTTCGTTTCTCCACTTTTCAAGGCGAAAGTGCAGCCCCTGGGAATTGCTTCCTTCTGGCCAGGAGGGTATTTGGTCTACGGCTCCACTCTCAACCGGTTGTCTTGGAAGAGGTGGCCGTACCCACGCTTTACCCCGCCGCACGTGACCTGTGCCCATGCACTGTGGCGAACCCGTTTCTACTGCTGGATGACGGGAGGTGGGGGGGGTGGAGATTTGAGAACCCTGCACCAATGGTTCGACTGCCGCGCCGGGAGATAGATTCTCACCGGAGACTTCTGGATGGCAAATTCCAGTGTGCTGCTGCCGGCCGTTACACCGCTATATGCACGGCAAAACCGGTAACCGGTTTTAACCGGTTTCTGCCCCCCCTCCTCACATGCGGTTACCGGTTATGCAACAAAACAGATTTAACAACCCTATTTTAAACCAAGCCCAGCGGTGCCACTCGCTGATTTCTGTGCCACCAACTTATTGATATAAATACCAATATCGGTGGTCTCGCCGAATTCAGCGATGGAAGGGGAAGGCTGTGGTGGGTGGGGAAGGCTGTGGTTGGTGGGGAAGGCTGTGGTGGGTGGAGAAGGCTGTGGTGGGTGGGGAAGGCTGTGGAGGGTGAGGAAGGCTGTGGTGGGTGGGGAAGGCTGTGGTGGGTGGAGAAGGCTGTGGTGGGTGAGGAAGGCTGTGGTGGGTGGGGAAGGCTGTGGTGGGTGGAGAAGGCTGTGGTGGGTGGGGAAGGCTGTGGTGGGTGGAGAGGGCTGTGGTGGGTGAGGAAGGCTGTGGTGGGTGGGGAAGGCTGTGGTGGGTGAGGAAGGCTGTGGTGGGTGAGGAAGGCTGTGGTGGGTGGAGAAGGCTGTGGTGGGTGGGGTGACTGTGGTGAGTGGGGAAGGCTGTGGTGGGTGGGGAAGGCTGTGGTGGGTGGGGAAGACTGTGGTGAGTGGGGAAGGCTGTGGTGGGTGGGGAAGGCTGTAGTGGGGGGGGAAGGCTGTGGTGACTGTGGTGGGTGGGGAAGGCTGTGGTGGGTGGGGAAGACTGGGGTGAGTGAGGAAGGCTGTGGTGGGTGGGGAAGGCTGTGGTGGGTGGGGAAGGCTGGGGTGAGTGAGGAAGGCTGTGGTGGGTGGGGAAGGCTGTGGTGGGTGAGGAAGGCTGTGGTGGGTGGAGAAGGCTGTGGTGGGTGGGGTGACTGTGGTGGGTGGAGAAGGCTGTGGTGGGTGGGGTGACTGTGGTGGGTGGGGTGACTGGTGAGTGGGGAAGGCTGTGGTGGGTGGGGAAGGCTGTGGTGGGTGGGGAAGGCTGTGGTGGGTGGAGAAGGCTGTGGTGAGTGGGGAAGGCTGTGGTGGGTGTGGAAGGCTGTGGTGACTGTGGTGGGTGGAGAAGGCTGTGGTGGGTGAGGAAGGCTGTGGTGGGTGGGGAAGGCTGTGGTGGGTGGAGAAGGCTGTGGTGGGTGGGGAAGGCTGTGGTGGGTGGAGAGGGCTGTGGTGGGTGAGGAAGGCTGTGGTGGGTGGGGAAGGCTGTGGTGGGTGAGGAAGGCTGTGGTGGGTGAGGAAGGCTGTGGTGGGTGGAGAAGGCTGTGGTGGGTGGGGTGACTGTGGTGAGTGGGGAAGGCTGTGGTGGGTGGGGAAGGCTGTGGTGGGTGGGGAAGACTGTGGTGAGTGGGGAAGGCTGTGGTGGGTGGGGAAGGCTGTAGTGGGTGGGGAAGGCTGTGGTGACTGTGGTGGGTGGGGAAGGCTGTGGTGGGTGGGGAAGACTGGGGTGAGTGAGGAAGGCTGTGGTGGGTGGGGAAGGCTGTGGTGGGTGGGGAAGGCTGGGGTGAGTGAGGAAGGCTGTGGTGGGTGGGGAAGGCTGTGGTGGGTGAGGAAGGCTGTGGTGGGTGGAGAAGGCTGTGGTGGGTGGGGTGACTGTGGTGGGTGGAGAAGGCTGTGGTGGGTGGGGTGACTGTGGTGGGTGGGGTGACTGGTGAGTGGGGAAGGCTGTGGTGGGTGGGGAAGGCTGTGGTGGGTGGGGAAGGCTGTGGTGGGTGGAGAAGGCTGTGGTGAGTGGGGAAGGCTGTGGTGGGTGTGGAAGGCTGTGGTGACTGTGGTGGGTGGGGAAGGCTGTGGTGGGTGGGGAAGGCTGTGGTGAGTGGAGAAGGCTGTGGTGGGTGGGGTGACTGTGGTGAGTGGGGAAGGCTGTGGTGGGTCAAGAAGGCTGTGGTGAGTGGGGAAGGCTGTGGTGACTGTGGTGGGTGGGGAAGGCTGTGGTGGGTGTGGAAGGCTGTGGTGAGTGGGGAAGGCTGTGGTGACTGTGGTGGGTGGGGAAGGCTGTGGTGAGTGGGGAAGGCTGTGGTGACTGTGGTGGGTGGGGAAGGCTGTGGTAGGTGGGGAAGGCTGTGGTGGGTGGGGTGACTGTGGTGAGGAAGGCTGTGGTGGGTGGAGAAGGCTGTGGTGGGTGAGGAAGGCTGTGGTGGGTGGAGAAGGCTGTGGTGGGTGAGGAAGGCTGTGGTGGGTGGGGAAGGCTGTGGTGGGTGAGGAAGGCTGGGATGAGGGAGTAGGCTGTGGTGGGTGGGGAAGGCTGTGGTGGGTGGAGAAGGCTGTGGTGGGTGAGGAAGGCTGTGGTGGGTGGAGAAGGCTGTGGTGGGTGAAGAAGGCTGTGGTGGGTGGGGAAGGCTGTGGTGGGTGAGGAAGGCTGGGATGAGGGAGTAGGCTGTGGTGGGTGGGGAAGGTTGGGGTGACTGCGGTGGATGGGGAAGGTTGGGATGAGGGAGTAGGCTGTGGTGGGTGGGTGAGTGGGCAAAGCTGTGGTAAAAAAAAATGTCAGGCTGTGAGGGAAAGTTTCTTTCGTGTTACTGTCGATCCACTCACGACCCTCATGACCTCGACTGCCACACCGATGATGTTCAACACCGCGCACGAATTTAACAAAGCGCGCGAATCGGAACCAATGAACTCCTGAACCCCGCGAGAGAACCCGAACGCCGTGAAATATTGAATCCTACGAACACCGTTAGACCCTGACCCTTGAACCCCGGGAGACCCCCTCGCGTCGCGATCT